CCGTCCCTCTGTCTTCGGTTGCCCTCCCAAGTTCTCTTCTTTTCACCTCACAAAGCATGCAGGCCAGCCGTCCTCCTTGTGGTATAGAAGAAGGCATCTGTGGTCCAGGGAGAGGAGCGGGTGGCTCTGGCCCACAGGCTTGGTGGGTCAGTGCAAAACACACAGCGCTTTTGTTCTGACCCCCTTCTGGGAGTGCAGAGGCAGTCTTATTCAACAACACTCACTACACATCGACAACACTTGCGGTTCCTGAATCAGACTTTTGCATTACCGAATCAGAATCAGCCTCAGGAAGGGGTGTCTTCCTTCTCTCATTACATGTGTGCACCCCCCGCCCCCAGCTGTCCAGTTTAGGTGTTGGAGGGAGGGAGAGCTTGGGGCTGGGATGCCAAAGCCCGCCTCCCTCCCAGTGTCCTGGGTCTCCCCTCTGCCCCGTGCCTAGAGCTGTTAATAATACCTTAAGTGAAATGGGCATGATCAGGATCCCAGCTGCCCACCTGTAGGACTCTAACATATGGGAGTAGGGAGCAGAATAATAATAGTAAACACTAATGCACATGAGGTAGGGACTATTATTATCCTATCTAACAGATAAGGAAACTGAGCCTCACAGGGGTTAAAAACTTTCCCAAGCTAGTGAGGAGTGGGCCTTGTGAAGGGGTCTGCATCCCTTGGGGCCCGGGCTTGTCCCTGTCTGTTCTTTTCTTCTTATCTGCCTTGCTGGTGAGTAGTGCCTCAGGCCTCGGGCTCCCGATTGTCTTTCCCCTTCGCTGGCTTGGCTAGGCTTAGAATGCTGCCTACTTCCAAGTCTTGTGGCCCAGTGATGGAAGATCTCATGTGGGGGAGAACAGGGGACCAGGCACAATCTGAATTGGGGGTCCTGTCCCTCTTCCCTCCAGGTTCTGATAGAGACAGAGGCGTGGACCTGTACTTGGGCAGCTGCCACATCTCCCTCACTGCCACCGTCCTAGAGGCTCCTCCCCAGGCAGCGGGCTCTGTGGCCTCGACTCTGGCCCCAGCCACACTTGGCAGGGGGCCTTGCCTGTTGCATTGCCGTGGAGCACACGCAACGATTAACCTTTTCTACAGTGTGGGAGAGTTTCACACACAAACGACGTGGGCCCGAGGCAAGTCACAGTATTGGTCCAGGCTTAGCATGGGCTTGAAATATTTCACAATCCCTTCCAGGCATTCCTTGACTAAGGGCCTGTGACTTTTTAGTGGGAAGACCCTTCCTTCTTTCAGTCTCTGGCCCTCAGAACTATGGTCCTGAGCCCTTTGGCCTGGGCATGCCAGAGGAGCGGGAGCCAAGCTTTTCCCATGTGACTCTCTTGGCTTCTGGTTGAAACTGCTGCCTGTACCTCGCTCTTCCATTGGCCCCAGGCATTGCCCTAGGAACCGTGCCTCCTTTCGCTCCCTCTTCTCTCTCTGGCTTGGCACTCAAGCTACCTCTCCCACTGTTCTTTACTTAGCCCTGTACTCCAGATTAGCACATTCTTGATTTCCTCTCTCCACACTTGTCTACAAAGCCTCTTTGCTCTTCACGCTCTGCCCTGTGACGTCAGGCAGCCTGCCTGACCAATTTGAAGGTCTTGCTTTCATTGCCTGGGTAGATTTTCATATCCAGCCAAGGATTTCTGATAAACATGTGCCTGCATGGATGTCAATTAACAGTCTTCATGGCAAATTCTCACAATATTTGTCTAAGAATTTTAAAATACTACTACTTCCAATTTATTTCAGCACAGAGAAGACAGATCTGTTTGCAGCTCACCCTCACTCACAGTCACTTTGGGAGAGGTGACCATTGTGGGACAGAGTTTAGATACATTGTGAGAAAAAACAAGAGGATGAGGGACATTGGCTCAGAAATACATTTTTCCTAACATAGGAAAAAGTTCAAAAATACGTTAAACAGTGGGTCAGAGAAGGAAGAGGGGAGAAATCAAATTAGATCTTGCCCTTTAGAAACTCAGGTTGGGGAGATAATGCCGAAATATGCAAAATGGTAAATTTTTTGAAAGTAAAAGTACCCTAATAGAGTTTCTGAAGCACCTTCAAGGGTATGATTTCACAAAGTTGAATCCAGTTTTACAGATGATGAAACCCTTTTCTGAAAGTTAGATTGGCTTGCCTAACAGTCTAGGAAGTGAGGACTGAGATTCAAAATGTGTGTGATTCCAAAGCCCAGGTTCATTATACTACGTCAATCTGTCTCCTCTAACAGGAGAAGAATTTGCATAAGTCCGGAAGTGTCATCTGAACCCAGGCTTTCTGACTGCAAATCCTCTTTTGCCGAGTGTCCAAGGCAGAAAGAACAAAATGTGCGTGAGTGCTTTCAGTTCAGGGGGTGCAGAGGGATGCGCACTTGGGTTCTGGCCTTGGTGCATGCTCACTTAGCACAGCTCTGGTTGATTAGACTAGGGAGCTGATGCCCAGGCAGTGGTCACCAGGCCGAAGATGGGAACCTAGCCTACAGCCTTGCCAGTGACTTGTACTGGTCACAACAGCATGCTCCAGTCTCAACTCAGTGGTGAGGGAGCTTGTCAGGTGTCATTGCCCGTATCTTATAGATTGGGAGCAGGCTCAGAAAGGTAATGACTTCTCTAAGGCTATGCAAGCAGAAATGGACAGAGTCCACACTGGGACCCTAGTCTCTCCTGATTGTAAATCCATGACCGTGTACTTGTTGCCTCTGAGTAAATTTGACAACTTTGATGCTTCCTCCTTGAGCCTCAATTCCTGTGTGCCTGTAGGGGGCGGCAGAGGTCCTCCCTGCTTGACTGCTTTGCAAACTCGCTCTTGAGCCTTTTGAAGTTAGCACTGTTACAGCATATTAGCTTACTGGATTATAAGCATTTTCTGTGCCTCTGTCCCCTCTTATCCCACCCACCCCTCCAACCTGAGCTTTTTCAAGTCAGGACGCCTCTGTTTAGTCTTGACATTCGGCATGATGTGTGGTTCCATGGTAGGAGCTCAGTAAATGCTTGTTGAATTGAATTGATTTTTTTTTTTTTTAGTTATATACAATTTAGTAATAGTTCAGTTGCAAAATAAATGTTATTGTAGGTGAGACCATGAAATTTCCTAACACTTGATTTTAATGCATTGCAATATTTTTCTAAAACAACTGTGAGGAACCAATACTTACAGTGAGGGAGTACTTCTCAAAAATCTAGCATCAGGTATATTTATAGGTGTGTGTGTGTGTGTATATATATATATACATATATCTCCCAATATTATATGAACTAGGATACAGAGGTTGAATATCTTTACAAATGAAATTGTCCATTGCCTCCTCCTGCTCCTCTTAGAGCTTGGGAAAGTAAACTTTTTCTTGGTCCATCCAAATGAGTGAAGGTGAAAGTGGCATAACTCAGGACCTGTGCAGTGTCCTCAGATGGCCACAAGGCGGCAGTGTGACCCCATGGGGACTTTGCCTCTTGCACCTATTGGCTCCAGCACACTTAGTGGGACATACTGAGCCATCTAGTTGATTCCTTCTGGACACCTGTTTGGGGAATTGCCTCTGCAGAGCGATTCTGAGAAGTCTTGGCCTCCAAACTCCTCCAAAAGCTAGGTGGTGTGGTGAGAACGCTTGGGTTTTGGAGTCTACCAGGCCTGGATTTCGACACTGGCTCTGCCTTTCCCCAGAAACTGAGCCTTGGGCATGCTACTTCTCTGAGCCTCAGTTTCCTCCTCCTGTAAAATGACAATTGTTGTACAATTAGAAAGGCTCAGCATATTATGGGCCGTATCATAAATGCATGTTAGTTTTGTTGTTGAAAATTCCTGTGTTTGCTTTTTACTGCCCTTTGTAATCTGGCTCCATCTTGACCGTCTGATCTTATTTGCCAAGTTTCATGCACTTTCCAGGAGGTCTCTTAGCCCTCTCTGCCACATCCCCTGTCCACTCTCAACTCCACTGCATCTCAGTCAGTCAGTGCCTGATTCTTGCTATTTCCCCTGCCTAGATTCCTTTCCTCTGCCTGTCCATTTCCTTCCCAGCCTGTCTCCCTGACACTCCAGCCCTCTGAATGCCCAAAGTAGTTGGAGTGCATAGGGCTGATCTTGACTTCCTGTGAAGATGGTAACTCTGTAAGGGTTCTTGTCTTAATTATTTTGTTATCTGTGCCCTGAACTTAGACACTGTAATAAAAATGACAGCTATTATTATTGAGCACATCTCAGGCACTCTGCTAGGTGCTTTGTAGAAATATTTAATCCTCACAATAAATCTGTGACATGGAAGCTCCCGTTTTACAAAATTCTTCTTGGCCAGTTGGGTCTTTGACTTGTTCCCAACCCAGTCACTAGCAGAGGGACTGGAATTAACGAGACTAGCTTGGACTAGTCAAGATTCAGACCCTGAGACAGGTGAGGGGCCAGCCTCTTTAAACACCCCTGGCCACCTGGTCCAGGGAGGAAGAGGAAGGGGCATAAAACAAGGCTCAGTGAGTTTAGGGACTTGCTTAAAGCTGCAAATCTAGTAAGAACTGGGATTCACACCAACATCTGGCTGACTCCCGAGGCCATCTGTTAGTTGAATGAAGTAAACCACAGAGGTGAAAGAACATTGCTGTGGATTTGCTGTGCTGGGTTTGAGGGATCTTGGAGGCACCTTTCTTCTGCTGGTTCTGGAATCTCCCCTCTCTCTAGGCCTCCTTCCATTTTTGTGTTGGTTATTCTAGGTCTTTCTCCCTGTATCTCCTCTACCCCCTGTCTTCCAATACCTGACTGCTGCCTACCTTTTAGATTAGACTTCACGCCCTCAGCTGGAGAAAGGTCCTGTTGGACTAAATGGCCCAAGGGCTGATCTCAGTAGCTGTCAAGGTCCCAAGAAGCATCATATTGAGATTTCATTTAGAGCAGATAAGGGAGCTGTGAAGGCCTCACAGGCTCCAGGAGAAGCAGAAGTCAAGGAAAATGCTGAGGGGACGGTAGGGGGCCAGCGGGAACAGGGAGTTGGTGATGCATCAGTGGGGATGTCAGGGCACATGGGTCAGGGCTGCCTGTCCTCTGTGCAGCAGCGCAGTTCCTCCCTGTGCTTGCAGATGCTGCAGGACTGCCCCAAGGCCCGCAGGGAGGTGGAGCTGCACTGGCGGGCCTCCCAGTGCCCGCACATCGTGCGCATCGTGGATGTCTATGAGAACCTGTACGCGGGGAGGAAGTGCCTGCTGATCGTCATGGAGTGGTAAGCGCCTGCTGTCTGTTCCCGGCCCAGCCCGCCCCACGCCCCGGTCTGGGGCCTCACCCTCAGAGGACAGCCCAGGCGTGGACTCTGAAGCCTGACATGGAAATGCTTGCTTTCTTTTGGGGGCCCATGGAGAGTGGTGGTGGGATGTCATGTGCGTTGGATCTCATTGTGGCTTTGTTGCAGTTTGGATGGTGGCGAACTCTTTAGTCGAATCCAGGACCGAGGAGACCAAGCGTTCACAGAAAGAGGTAGGAAGGGTCTTTGGAGGGGTCAGGCCCAAGCAGGCCAGGGCGGTGGGGATCTGAAAGGGGCTCTCAGGGAAAGACACCGAGGCTGCTGCCCCCTTCAGCTCCAGCCAGGGGTCTCATGCTCAACTGACCGTGGCAGCCCCTGGCTTCTTTGTTTCTGGGGTGGGGGGATGCGTGTGGGAGCCTCAGGCTGCAGGGGTAGGGCAGGATTGGTGCATTGGGTATTCAAACCTAATGACAGGTCTTTTCTTTCCCACTCCCACCTTCTCTCCTCTCCACAGAAGCATCAGAAATCATGAAGAGCATCGGCGAGGCCATCCAGTATTTGCACTCGATCAACATTGCTCATCGGGATGTCAAGGTGCCGGCTCTTTATATCCCTGCAGGGCTTGGGTGCTACAGAGGCTGTGGGGTGGGGTGACTGCACCCTTGTTGCCTGGCTCTGCAGGCAGAAGGGGCAGCATGCCATTCTGTGCCCTGTAGGGACCTGCTCTCTCTGCCCACGGGCAAACCTACAAACCCAGGAGTGAAACCCTCTCTGGCCGTGCTCAGCATTGTGGTCAGACCTTACAGTCACACCCTTGGTTTTTCTGTCCCTGTGGTGTCTACCGCTGGTTCTGTGTGCTTGTCTCATCTCCAGGCATCCCGTAAACTCTGTGAAGGCAGGGCCCTGAGCGTGTAGAGCGATGTCCTCAGTTCGCAGCTCAGAGGACTGACAAGGGCTTGTTGAATGAATGAGAGAAGGGAGGAAACCTCACCCTTTTGGTTTCTGGTAGCCCCTCATGGGTTCGGCAGGGTTGTTGTTCACCTCTCTCTCTTTCCGCAGCCTGAGAATCTCTTATACACCTCTAAAAGGCCCAATGCCATTCTGAAACTCACTGATTTTGGCTTTGCCAAGGAAACTACCAGCCACAACTCCTTGACCACTCCTTGCTACACACCATACTACGTGGGTAAGTACAGAGGAGACCCAGGAATCTGGCCTTTTCCAGAGCTTTTCTCAGACCTTCCTCTTGCAAGTCCTAGGAGAGCCGTGTCCTTGTGGCACTTTCTGGCACTCATTCTTATGGAAGCTGATGAGAAGTGGGGCTTGTCAGAGTTAAGCTGGGATCGAGGAATTGTGGGAACTTTCTGCCTGAGATTATGGGCAGGATTTTGTGCACTTGTGCACTCTGGAGTCTGGGACCCAGGTTTGGTTCTGGAGTCTCAGCTGACTGACACAGCATAAGCTCTCAAAGCATATTTGTTAAATTAAATGGACAGCATGGGTCTGAAAGTCTCAAAGTCTCTTGCAGTTCAGGAATTTCTTCATCTTAAGATTCTAGCTCTAGGGTCCTCTTGGAGGAGGGTCTTCTGTTCTCCCTCTTCCAGCCCTGGGGCTGGGTTATGGCTGCTCCTCCTCCAGCCCCCAGCTGCCTGTCCCATTATGCCGGGCTGAAAGGTTGGGATGGGGAGCATCGTCCACAGAGAAAAGGGTGGATCCCAGTTGTTCCGAGGGCCAGGCCTACCTATATTGACCTTTGATTTGCAGCTCCAGAAGTGTTGGGACCAGAGAAGTATGACAAGTCCTGTGACATGTGGTCCTTGGGTGTCATCATGTATATCCTGTGAGTGTGCTGGGGAAGAGGCCAGGGCAGGCTATGCTGGGATGGGACGAGGGAGGCTGTACCTCTCTGGGACAAGAAGGAGAGGCAAATGTTAGCATCCCCCTTTTGGGTGGGGGATTCCCTGGGAAGTCCCTGCATGCCCCCTTCTCTCAGTGCCTATTGGATTCTGACAGCTAAGTGCTGGGTATAAATGAGCTAATGGGCCGGAAAGTGTGTGGTTTAGCTACTTGGCATGTTGAGTTCCTGGACTCTCTCCTAGACTTTGCATACTGTGCCTGTATCAACGAACCCCTATTTCTCTGTGACCTTTACAAGGATGGGAACGTATTTCTCACCCTATCCCTGGTACAGGGCCCCTAAATAACATCCGCTCTGTCTCCTGCTTCCTTCCTCCTCTTGCTGCAGGCTGTGTGGGTATCCCCCCTTCTATTCCAATCACGGCCTTGCCATCTCTCCGGGCATGAAGACTCGTATCCGAATGGGCCAGTATGAATTTCCCAACCCAGAATGGTCAGAAGTATCAGAGGAAGGTAGGAACCCAGCCTTTCGGGACAAGGAGAAGTGCCCGTGCGTGTGTCTGCGCGTGTGCACGTGTGCCTGCACGTGGGTGGTATAACATGGGATGTCTAGGGGTCTGCACCTGTGCCCACACCTGCTGGGTGTGTCCGGCCTATGTGAAGGGCCTGAGGTGGGGCCAGGGCTGTGGGGCTGTGTACGGTCTATCAAGTGGCATAGCCATAGTGGTCTTTGGGGCCCGTTTTTGAGCAATCTGCCTCCATGCAACCCCCCTCAAGCCTGGTTCACCCTGAAAACTGTGGGAAGGAGCAGGACAGAGAGCATGGCCCCTGAGCTGTGCCTGTCTCTTGCCCCACACCCACAGTGAAGATGCTCATCCGGAACCTGCTGAAAACAGAGCCCACTCAGAGAATGACCATCACGGAGTTTATGAACCACCCTTGGATCATGGTGAGCCTGGCAGGCTGGGGAGGCCTGGGTTCAAGAGGACTGTCACTCAGGATGGGGTCTTAGCTGGGACTCTGCCTGCCCCAGGCTTTCACTCAGACCCTATTCTTTCCCCTCAGCAATCAACAAAGGTCCCTCAGACCCCACTGCACACCAGCCGGGTCCTGAAGGAGGACAAGGAACGGTGGGAGGATGTCAAGGTGAGGGACACCACTGGGAGAGGGGCTGGGGGAGGCAGCTCGCAGAGCACCCCGGTGTGAATGGGAGAGCTGGTCCTGCATGCTCGCACCCCAGGGCTGTCTCTGTGACAACGGGAGCAGTGACTCTGAGCCGCTTCCCTGACCAGGTTGTGGGCAGAGGAGTCCGTGTTCCTGTCCAAACTGTTGTGGCTCTTTCCTACAAGCCTTCTGCTCCCTGGGTCTCTAACAGGACCTTAAAGGGCATCTGGTTGATGTTCTCATTTTGCAGATGAGGAAACGGAGGCCCAGAGAGGTGGAGTGACCTGTTTAAGGTCATGCAGCTGGTGACGGGCTGGGGCAGGCCAGCTCAGGTCTCCTGACTCCTGGTCCTGTGCAGGGTCATGGGAGGGCTCCCAGGAGAGTGGCAGCAGCACGGTCGCTGGGGACTCAGGGCCGGGGGAGGCTGTCGTCAGCAGTGTGGCCTCACTGATGGGCCTGTGTCCTCTGCCCTCCCCCGTTGCCCTCATCCTGCTCTGTCCCCACATCTTGTTTCCTGTCTCTCACATCTCTCTTCTGCTCTCCCTTCTCCTTGTCCCTTGGCTTTCTTTTGTGCCCTTCCTGGTGCAATCCCCACCCCCATCGCCCTGCCCTTGCCCCCAGGAGGAGATGACCAGTGCCTTGGCCACAATGCGTGTTGACTACGAGCAGATCAAGATAAAAAAGATTGAGGACGCGTCCAACCCTCTGCTCCTGAAGAGGCGGAAGAAAGCTCGGGCCCTGGAGGCTGCGGCCCTTGCCCACTGAGCCGCGGGTGCCTCCTACCCCTCTGGAGGACAAGCAGTAACTCTCTACGTGGATATAGTTTTAAATGGAGAGACACGGAACTGTCCACTTCCACCTCCTCTCCTCCTCAGCTGCATGGAGCCCAGCACCGCAGCAGGGGCTGATGAATCCTGCCTTTGGTTCTGGCCGCCCCAGAGAGGGCGAGGCTGGGAGAGAAGGGAGCAGGGTGCTCTTGAACCTGTGCTCGTTTTGCAATTTTATCAGTAATTCGACTTAGAATTTTTATGGAATCTCTTTTATTGTCCTTTCCCCTACCCCTCCTCCCTTCCACCCAGCCCCTTTCTCTCTGCAAAGGATACTGCAAAGGTTTGGGGCTTGTTAAAGGGTATTTGTGGAAACTGTTATAGGGAGCATCCCTGTGTTGTCCCATCTGCCCTCGGTATTTCCCTACCACAGCCTGCGGTCCCCATTGGCTCAGGCATTCTGGGAGATCCAGGCTACCCTTGGGGGGGGGTGCCACCCACCTCCTCCCCTGGAGCCCTCAGGCATTACCAGCGTGCCAGACAGACAGGAGTGAGTGAGTGTGTGTGTGTGTGTGCGTGTGCGTGTGTGCCCAGATCTGTGCCTGGGACTGTGCATTTGAGGGGCCAGGGGCAGGCAGGGCTGCAGAGGGAGGCCCTGCTGTGGCTCAAGAACTTTCTCCCTCTTTGGGCCTGCCTTGCCCGTACTGAGCCTGCCAAAGTGCCTGGGAAGCCTATCCAGACTCTCACCAGGCCCTCTGTGGCCTGTCTCTTAGCTGGGTTCTGGGAGACAGAGAGGAGTGACTTGGGCCCTGGCACAGCAATCAGGAAGACTGGACCCCGACCCCCAGGACCCCTTCTCCCCATTTAGTGCTGGTCCTAGGTCCTCTGAGGCGCTGGTCTCTCTACTTCCCTGTGTTGCCGTTATTAACCTATTGTTTGTTTTTCTTGAATTTTTGGCCATTTCTCAGTGGGCCACCTCTCAACTCATGTGGATGAGCCTGGGCCGTTTATATTGACAAAGCTTTTGGATTTCGTGTGTCTCTCTTAGGCTCTGGGGACAGCTAACTATTACTTATGGGAAAAGGCAGGACCACTTCTGTGGTCCTCCCTTAAAGTCCCATTTTGTGGCCTAGTGGGTAGGGGCAGTCTTCGCACCAAAGATGTCCCGACTCTGCCCCCTTGCCCGTCAGCCACTTTACCATCACCCCAAACAACTCAGCTTCATGCGTCCAGGCCAGTGAGGGGAGGGGCCCTCCCCCAGTATTCATGAGGGGCAGCCTGGGGAGAGGTTCTCTGGACACGGTCCCATATTCCCCCTTCCTGTTGGGGGAGGGGGCAGCAGTGACACTTCAGCTTTCATCTCTCTCTCGGGGCAGGTGGGGAGGGGCACCCAGCCTTCTCTGGGTGTGGGGGAGGGCGCAGGTGCCTGCAGCACCTCCCTCCTCTGTGATGGCATGTCCAGCACTCAGATTGTTGTAAACTGTTGTTTTGTATGAGCGAAATTGTCTTTACTAAACAGATTTAATAGTTGAATGTTTTTCTTTCTCTTCCTTCCTGGGGCTCAGGCCCTCAAACCCCCACCTGTGCTGAGGTTTTGTGTGTTGGGAGGAGGAGGTCCTCCCTGTCTGGTGTAGGGACAGTGAACTCTGCCCTCCTTTATAGCAAGGTAGGGGAGGCACAAGGCCTGGGGAGCCCGTCCTCTTTTGCCAAGTACCGAATCAAGAGCCAAGCTGCTTTTCATCATGTCATTCTTTGACCTACATAGCCACTACTAGGCACTGGTATGGGGTCTGGGGAGGAGAGGGTGGTAGTGAATTCGGCTAAAATCCTGGAAGAGACCAGAGGAGCAGGTTGGTGTAGTACCTGAAAATTCCAGGAGGGGGCGAAGGGAGTCAGTAGAAACCAACCAAGGTCCTCTGCCTCCGACTGAAAGAGACCTCAGGGTGTGTGTGACCCATTCTCAATGCACAGATGAAAAGACGGAGGCCCAGAGGTGGGGTTTTTGAGATCACAAGATCAATTGATTTTTGGTAAAGCTTAAAGTAGAAACTGGTCTACCAACCCCATTGCTTTGCCTCCCAGTCAAGTGGAGAGTAGCATGTCCTAGACCATTTCTCCTACATTTTCCTATGCCATCCTAAGAACTGTCAAGGGAGAAAGGCAAGACAGGGTGGTGATTTATTCCTGTTTAATGAGTGGGGAAACCAACCAAGGGAGTGCAGTAATGTGCTGGAGGTTTGGATCGTAATGTGCTAATTGGTTTGGGTTGGAACTCAGGCCTCAGAATCCCGAGGCCTGGGGTGTTCCCCAGCCTCAGACCTGCCACCTCCCTGGGGGAGAGGCTTCACTCTCAGAGGCCCCATGACCTCCTCTTCATGACTCTGAATGGGTTGCTGAGGTTGGCTCCCACCTTGAGATTCCATTCATTACTCTAGAAACCACTGCTCAAAATGAACCAGCATGAGGTTTTGTTTTCAGAGAAATCCAATTATTTTGTCTATGCTTATGAAAGTGTCAGAAGCAACAAGAACCCAAGGGGAAGAAGGAACAAGCGGTGGTAGGAAGGGAGTCGGGGAGAGGGGAGAAGAAGGTCGTCAGAGCTCTGATGTCATTAGAGACTATTGCTGCCATAAAAATTTAGTGGCTTAACACAGATGTGTTGTCTACCAGTTCTGTAGGTCAGGAGTCTGAGAGGGTCTCACTAGCCTAAAGGTAAAGTCTCAGCAGGGCTGCTTGCCGTTTTGGAGGCTGTTCCCTTGCCTTTGCAGTTTCTAGAGGCTTTCTGCATTCCTTGGTTCCTGGACCCCTTTCTCCATCTTTGAAGCCAGCAAGCTTGCATCTTTCTGTCTCAGCAGGGCTGCTTGCCATTTTGGAGGCTGTTCCCTTGCCTTTGCAGTTTCTAGAGGCTTCCTGCATTCCTTGGTTCCTGGACCCCTTTCTCCATCTTTGAAGCCAGCAAGCTTGCATCTTTCTGACCCGGCCAGGAAGGGTTCTCTGCTTTTAAGGACTGGTGTGATGAGTTTGGGCCCACCTAGGTAATCCAGGACAATCCCCTCATCACAAGGTTCTTAACCTTAATCCCATCTGCAAAGTCTCTTTGCCATGCAAGGTCCAGGGACTAGGTGTCGACATCTTTGGGGGCCATTATTCTGCCACAGAGGTCTGTCTCACAGCCTTCTCGTCCTCGTGCCCCAACATCGTTGTGTTTTACTTCCTTCCCTGTCTGTCTTAGCCCAGCAAGGATCCAGCCTGGGGGTGGCCACGTTCAAGGAAGATGGCTGGGATCAAGGGCCAGGAGGGGCCGGCATGGTGAGCAGGTCTTGCTGTGCCCTTCCACCCTCCCCAGGCCCCCAGGCCCCTGACCTTCCAAACCAGCATGATTTCCTGTCTGTAGGGAGAATGTACCTCCTCCTGCTGTCTCTGGTGGGATGGCAGTGCAAATTTTGTCCCTAAAGGCAGACGCTGGCTTGCAGGGGTGTAGGGGCAGTGGGGAGGTCGGGGGGAGACACTGGGTATGCTTCCTGAACACCCTTGTGTGGTAGGAGATAAAGAGGGCTGTGGACACTTCTGGGCACCTACTAAGTACTGATGCTGGACAATTCCATTGATCTCTTCACCAGCATAAAACCCTCTGAGGTAGTCAGTCTAGCCTCAGGTTTACCTGTGAGGAAACTCAGGCTCAGCGAAGTAGGGACTTGCTTGCCCAAGGTCACACGACTAGTCAGATGAATGTGACCTACATCTCCTGCTTCTAGATTTAGAGCTCCTTTAAAAAGCACATGGAAGTCCTCTTGATGAGGGAGGGCAGAGGGGGCAGGGAGGAGACTCAGACTGGATAGAGGAAGGATTAATTTCCTTTTCTATGAAATGGGTGTGATATTCCTAGGCCCTGTGGCTATTGTGTAGAATTTAATGAGAATGGATTTAAATGTTTCCTAAAATACCAGGTGCCAGGTGGCCTTTTCACTAGAGGAGTGTCATCCTTGAGCTGCCCTGCCAGGAGGGCACAGGAAGCCCCAGACTAGGGGCAGGTCGGTGGTCTAGGCCAGACTCTGCTCCTGCCCTGGGCGTGAGGGCGGGTGTCTGTGCTCTGTGGTGAGGAGGCCATCGGGTTGGTAAACAATAACAGTAAATTCAGGGTTTTCCTTTGACTGGGTTGGTGACAGGAAATGCAGAGGGCTGTGTGTGAGGCTGGAAGGAAATTCAGTTACTCAAGGGAGGAGGGGGAGGTTGGTGAGGCTGGGGAAAGTGGCCGTCCCACTCATAGTGAGTGTCAACTAACCCTGCTGGGCGCCCCCTGGTGGGCCAGAGTGGGGACAGCAGGCTTCGGGGGGCAGTGTCTGTGTCCTCTGCCCTGAGAGTACAGCCTCTTGCTGGTTCTGTCTCTTGAAGCTTGCATTGAGGGGCTGAGTTTGGGAGTAGCTGCTCTTCGGAAGGGGTGACAGGCTCCAGCTCTGGGGGCCCTTTTGGTGCCTTCATCTACCTCTCCTCTCTCTGCACTCAGACCAGCGTGGAGAGCCACCCGCCATACCAAACCACTGGTATGCGCCATCCAGGCACTTACTGAAGCCCCTTCAAGGGTATTACTTCACAAAATCAAGGCCAGTTTTACAGAAGAGAAAACCCTTTTCAGAAAGGTGGACTGGGAAAAACAAATGAAGCGAAGACCCAGTTCCTCCCTCGAGGAGCCGCCAGAGAGAGGAGATATGCGGGCGCGATGGCGGCTGGCCTTGTCTTCCCTCTCCCTGCACCGCAGGCTGGACACTTTAGAAACCACTCCAGATAGTGAGGAATGTGTCCTCTGCACAGGTGGCACAGGGCAGCCTCTTAGGAGCCTAGAGGTTTTGAGACTAGAGAGAGAAGTGAGGTCAGAAGGAACACTCCTTGGACCCTTGTGTTCTGTTTAGACAAGGCCCTGACATCCATGCCTTGGTTGGGATGACATTGGTCCTAACTCCACCCAGGCAGGTGATTGAAATGTGGCCACACCAAGACTGAAAGGCGGAGGAAGAGCTGTGTTCTGTTTAGACAAGGCCCTGACATCCATGCCTTGGTTGGGATGACATTGGTCCTACCTCCACCCAGGCAGGTGATTGAAATGTGGCCACACCAAGACTGAAAGGCGGAGGAAGAGCTGTTGATGGATATGCAAGGATAGATAGGGCCACTCCCCCGTGCTCCAGGCCACCCTCTGGTGGGTCAGTGCATTGACATCCCGGCCTGAGCTGCTCTTTGAAGACACTTGCAGCCAAGAGTAAAAATGCCAAAGTAAAAATCCAAGAGTGAAAATGCCACATTTTCATTGAGCTCATCTTGAACACCCACTCTGCGTAACATCCTGTGCTGAGGACTTTGGGGCAACACAGATGAGTGAAAAGTGGGTCTAGCCTCATGCAGCTCAGTGTAGGCAAGTGGACAGACATAACAGAAGGCAGGGAGGACCGAGGCTCTAAAGTAGGATTAGTAGATCATGGTGCAGAGGACAGAGCTGTGCTGAGAGACCCAGGGGGGCTTCCTCCAGTCCTTCGAGCTGGCAGGAAGGACAGTTCTGATGGTAGAAAGGAAGGGAGCAGCATGGAGGAGGTTTTCCCATTGGATCCCCCACTCTGATTTCTGTCTGCGAGAGTAAGATCCTTCCTTCTTTGAGTCTGTGTTCGCCCCTCCGTCTTCTGGTCTGAGCTGCTGCCCGCACATGGAGATCTGATGTTTTCTGTCTGTTTTCTCTCTTTCCAGCCCTTCCAACCTGGATTCCCCTCATTCACAATGTTTGCTCCCCCAAAACCAAAATTTGAGAACAGTTCATTAATTTTTTAAAAGCCTTATAAAGTTATACCTTAGGTCATTTGCGGTTGTGCGTTTTACAGATCATTGTGGAAAAGGATAATATGACATGAAATCAGGAGCCCCCTGGAAGAGAGGGACGTGTGGCTGTCGGGGCTTCTGTTCTCCCCTTGGCTCTGCCACTCAGAAGCCACAGCTCCGCAGCCTTTCTCATCCCTCCACCCTCATGGTCCTTACTCCACAAGTCGGTATATGAAAGGTGAAGCCCTTGGGAGCCTCCCCGGAACAAGTGTACATTTTAGTGTACCTAAGCATCGACGCTTTTTATTTTTAACACACTAGTGTCTCCAACTTGGGGTTACCTTGGATTTACATCTACCCTCTGGAGGGAACAGTTATTGCTCTGAAGGTAAGTTACTTCCCAGAGCCTCTGGCCAGGAAGTCTTTTGACTGTCAGGCCTTCAGGATTTCAGGTGGGGCCACTGAGGCACTGAATCTGAAAGGCATGGAACCTGTGTATGGTAAGTCATTTTTAGGGACCAGGGCTGCCAGACAAATGCATTTGTTTGCATAATCTTCTTGCTCTCAGGGACAGTAAAATTTTCTGCCCCCATCCCACACCCCTGCCAGGATTTGCAAGTGAAATATTGGGACTGGCTTTCCCCCTTCACAAGTCCCCCACCCTTCACAAGTCCTCCCCTCCCCCTTGGTTTTGGTTCTGTCTCTCAGGCCCTGCGTGACCAAATACTAGT